TCTAGTAGGTTTAGGTCGCAGATAAATATGTCTGAGCTTTTATTCTTGCATGTAATTTTGCTTTATTTGTATTCGTATGAATAGTAGTATCTCTATATAGTTTAATTTTATATAGTTACTATTTTAAAAATTACTTAATAAAGATATGAGCAAGGCCTCACCTTAATACTAAAAAAAAAAAAAATAAATAAATTTAATAATAAAACTAATACTACAACTCATTCTATAACAATACTATAAGAGATTTAACTCTTTGAATCTTTTTAATGCTAATTTTACTAAACAGATTATAAAACTTCAAAGTTATTTTTTTTTTTCAAAGTAAATCATTACTAACAGAGTTTGGAAGTTGTGATCTAACTTCTTTATTAATTAAGGCCTGAGCTGTTTACTTAGGATTACTTTTTTTATAATAATCATACTTATTATCAAGTGCTTTACCAAAATGATAATAGCAGATTATAACTTCTTGATTTGTAATTTCATTTTGAGCTTCTGCAGTAGTTATATTATTATACAAATTAACAAAATTATTAGCATTTTCTTTTTTAACTACAGAGGTTTGTGAAGTTCTATGTTTAGTAAACAATTCTTTTATAAGATCTTTTAATATATGGAATTCTTTTTTAATCTGTTTTTTTTGGTTTTTTACTAAATGATTTATCTGTAATAGTAGATTCATTAGCATGCTTTTTAATTAAGATAAAGTCAGCGTCAAACATATATCTTATATTTATTTGATTAGATGATATTTCTGAAGATATATTCATTGCATCACTAGTATTTTGAGATAAAGACTTTGTGTTTTGTACCTGATTTTTTACAGAGCTAGATGCAAAAGTGTCATCAATAGGTTCGATTTCTATTGCATATTTTGGGTATTGCAAAAGATCTTTTACATAATGCTCAAGACAATTGTAGTGAAATATATGGCCACAAGTAAGTATGGTAAATAGTTTTTTAATTTTATACAAAAAAAGCTCTTGATTGCATTTTGAGCATAGATCAAGTTCTGAAATTTTAATATCTTTTGCAATAATATCCAGAGAGCCATTTTTAAGGATATTTAAAGCAAGGTTTTTGAGACATGAAATATTTTTAAAGTGTCAAGTTAGTAGACATATTCTAAGGTAAAATTTTGTAGGATTGAAAGAATAAGTATACATTATAGACAAATAAGTATTTGCAATTAATTATATACTTAGCTCATTTTTATATTAATAGACAAATCGTGAGTCACCTAAACAAATATATTTTTTTTTATATGTAAATTTTATTATAAGCCTGAATGTGCAGCGCTTCTATCTAAAACTTTTTTTTTATTAAGTAAATCACTCTTGGGCTTGTAATAAAAGTTGTAGAGCTCATCAAGATGCATTAAATAATAAAAGAACACTAAAATCGGTCTGGTGGTTCTTGAGAAATCTTTAAAAAACTTCTTTCTTATATATAATTGGTGATTTGCCAGTCAACCAGAGAAATCTGCAAATTTTTATAAATAAAATTTACTATTAAGTCAAATGTGAAGTGCACCAATCTAAAACTTTTTCTTACTAAGTAAATCACTCTTGGACTTATAATAAAAGTTGTAGAGCTCATCAAAATGCATCTAATAGTAGTAAGAACATTAAAATTGGCCTGGCGGTTCTTAAAATTTTTTTTAAAAGTTCAATAATAATATGTGATGCTGTCTTGTAGGAGATATTAAAGTCCTATAAAGATTTAATAATAGATTTAGGAATTAAGCCTTTAAGTGTGAGTTCTAAATGATGAGAAGAAGGTAATAGTGCTGAAGGGTTAAATGCTTCATGGTTTTGAATTTGATAGATAAGTTCGTTTGTTTGAGTAAGTGAGAGATCTAGTTCTAGTGACTTAATATAATTATTAACAGTAGTTAGAATAATGTTATTAATTTGTATTAAGTTAGCACATACACACCAGTGAGAGTGTGAGTCAGTTGTTCCGCATTGGAAACAATTAGCATTATGGAAAGTTGTGGGATAAAGTATGTGATGATGGAAATAGGTAGGTAGTTCGTTAAATAATGTTTTAATTTTAAAGGATTTGAGTTGATTGAGCTTAAAGTTAGTAATATTGTGGATAGACTTGTGGTTGTGGTTGAAATATAACCAGATTGATCTCCAGTCGATCTTGTGATTAGTTTGAGACCATTCTTCATTGCGTTTTTGTGAGGACCACATTGCAAGAATGTGTGCTTTACAGATAGATTTCATAAAATATCATGTAGGAAGTTCAATAG